CTGAGGATATGTTTTAGAGAGAGGAAAGGGGAGAGAGAGAGAGACAGAGGGAGGGAGGGAGGGAGGGAGGGAGGGAGAGAGAGAGAGAGAGAGAGAGAGAGAGAGAGAGAGAGAGAGAGAGAAATACTGATTGGCTGCCTCCCATATGAGCCCTGACTGGGGATCAAATCTGACACCAAAATACGTGTCCTGACCGGGAATCAAACCCGCAGCCTTGTGGCGTGTGGGGTGATGTCCAACCACCTGCACCACCAGCCAGGGTTTGTTTGCTTTTCTTGACATCGTAGGTGCCTGCCCACCTCAGGGCTTTTGTCTCTGCTGTTCCCTTGCCTGGAGCGTGCTTCCCCCCACTCTGCCCAGAGGCATCCTTCAGATCTCTGCTGAGTGGTCAGTCGCCTGCTGATCACCTTCTGTAGAGCAGACCTCCCCTTCTATTCCTGCCTCAGCCTCTTGGCTGGTTCCCAGTCTACACCTTATTTGCATGTATAATCGCTTTACGTGTTTACTTCCTTATTTGTCCTTGTTTCTGTTTTTCTCTATGGCACCTATCAGCACTGGTTCTCCCTCATGTTTTATGCACTTTATGTTGCTGTCTGTCTCCCAGAATTTGTGTGTCAGCTCCGACAAGGGCAGGGAGCTTTGCCTGTTTTATCCACCTGTGTGCCCTGGCGCATCATAGCAGGTGCTCAGTAAACGTCGGTGACATGAAGAAACATCTCCGTCACTGTCACTGAAGCTTCATGAGGGCAGGGACCATGTCAACCATGTCCACTGCGGAGTCCCTGGAGCCCAGTCCAGCACTTGCACGTGGCAGGGGCTCTGTGAACACAGGTGGATGAGTGAGGTTATCACAGAGGCTTCTCTCCAGAACGTGTGCATCCAGTGTCTCTACCTCTTCACACCTGACAGTAATCTCCAACCACCCAGTCCTGGGAGACTACTCGTGGGGGGAAGGGGAGAACCCAGCCTTCTTAGACTGGGTTCCAAAGACTTGCAGGGAAGGTTTCCGACTCTAGGGGACAGTACCCCAGGCATGGGGATTGCTGCATCATCAGGTCCTTTCAAGGATTGCTGGAGTTTATGCAGGGGCTGCATTCACCAAGGCCACAGCCTCAGCAAAAGCCCTGCTCGGTGAAGACTGGGACCCCCTGCCTCAGCAGCACCCCTCCAGCCCTCCACGTTGACTCTGGCTCTCTTCCTAGACTCGCCTGTGTTCACTGAGGCCATCTTCCTCGGTGGCAAACACCTTGACCTCTGCCCAGTCTGTTTAGTAGAAACTGTGGGAACTCTCATGCTTACAGAACACACTCTGAAGTTTAGTAGGATTTCTAACCTTCAGTGAGGGCTTCTGAAGTAGCCCTGGTGTCTGCCCCCAGCCATTCCCACCCCCTTGCCACAGCCTACTTTTGGCTCTTCCCTGACTGACCAACCTCCTGGACATGGCCTTGGGAGGATTGTTCTGACGCCATGGCCAGCCCTGTCTGCTCTAAGCTCTTCCTGGTGCCCCACAAGCCCAGCTGGAGGCCCATGGGTGTGTGCAGTGGCGTTCTGACCCTTCTCGGGGGTCTGACCGCCCTCACCAGCTCCTCCCTGGCCGTCTTGCAGCGGGAGCAGCCGATCTTCAGTGGTTCTCTGTGCTTCTGCTGCTGTGTGCCTGCGGTCCTGCGTGTCTGCTGCTTTCTTGTTCCCCTTTACCCCTTTCTCGTGTTCATTCTTACTTGTCATCAGGGTCTTGGGTTAAGCGCTCCCTCCTTTGGAAAACATTCCATGACACTGCAGGCCAAGCTGGGTGCCCCGCCTCTGGGCCCCTGTTCCCTTACTACCTTCCACGGTGACACATGTCCCTCTTGACTTCTCGGTGCCAGTGCAGCCTCCGCTGCTGGACAGGGAGCCCACCGAGGGCAGGGGCTAGGACTGACTCAGCTGTTTGCCCACTGCGCTGCACAGGGCCTGCTCCCGGGAGGTGCCAGCACATGTTTGCTGCGTGAATAAGGGATGGCCACTCCTCTGCTCCAAGTCTCTGTGGCTCTCGTCTCCTAACCAAGCCGAGCTGGGGCAGTCTGGTCCCTCTCCCCTCCACTCACCCCTCCATCACTCCCTGCCTTGGATTTTGCACTTGCTGTTCTTCTGCCAGCAACGCCCTTCCCAAAAATCCACAGAGCTCACAGTTCCACCTTGGACAGGTGTTTTCCCAAAGGTTGCCTTCTCCTGGATGTCCTCCCTATCCACCCAACTGTCTTCTGTGTCTGAGCCTATTGATAACCAAGGGCTGGACTGGCCCTTGAGGTTCTTTCTTTCTTTCTTTCTTTCTTTCTTTCTTTCTTTCTTTCTTTCTTTCTTTCTTTCTTTCTTTCTTTCTTTCTTTCTTTCTTTCTTTCTTTCTTTCTTTCTTTCTTTCTTTCTTTCTTTCTTTCTTTCTTCTTTCCTTCCTTCCTTCCTTCCTTCCTTCCTTCCTTCCTTCCTTCCTTTCTTTCTTCCTTTCTTTCTAAGATTTATTTATTTATTTTTAGACAGAGAGGAAGTGTGGAGAAAGAGAGGGAAACATCAATGTGTGGTTGTCACTTGCACCCACTATTGGGGACCTGGCCCACAACTCAGGTGTGTGCCCTGACTGGGAATCAAAATGGCATGACCCTTTGGTTCACAGGCTGGTGCTCAATCCACTGAGCCACACCAGCCAGGGCTGGTCCTTGTGGTTCTTATGATTGCAAGATTCCCTCAGCAATAACCACCAGAAAATTAAAAAAAAAGTTTATTATATACAGGCTCTGGATATTACACTGCACATCTGGGGCCACACAGCAAGGTGTCATGGAGAGAGAGAACGAACAAGGGGCCCAAATGGTCAGTTATCAAAATCAACCAAGACCTCCAAAACAAGGGGCAGCCTGGCCCTCTCTCTAGTCCTGTGGCTGGCAGTGGGTTTATTTCAGAGGTCCATCTTTGCAGCCAGTGCCTCCATAATCAAAACTGAAGCCAGGCATTTCAATTCCAGAAAAGAGAAAGCCCAAGTGTGAGGACTTACACTGCACCTACGTAAATGGGTGGCGTGCTTCTCTCCCCTGATTTATCACCCTCTGACGTACTATATATTCAACTTACTTTTCTCCTTTCTTTACGGGCCTCTCCCATGAGGGCAGGTTTTTGCTTGTTAACTGCTCTCACTAATTAAGTGCTCAATAAATATTTGTGGAATGAATGATTGAATGACCACGCGACCCTTGAGGCCAAGGACAGTTTCCAGTGTTCATGTAGGAGCCTTCAGATTTCTGCCAGACTGTGTATCTCGCCCTTGGGGGCTGGCTCAGGCCAGGGGGAGATCTGAGAACCCCAAACCAGCAGTGGGAAGACAAATCTTGCTTTGCAAGCAACGGCCACTCAATGCACAGGCATGGACACAGTGACCCCTTGTGGCCACGGCTGAGAATAGCATTATTCCCATCTCCCAAGTACGACCCCCATAGGTTTGTCACAAGTGCTTTTAACGGTGGTGGAGCCTGAATCCAAACAGGCTGAAAGTGTTACACACTGGATTTTGAAAGCTTAGCAAAAGAAATAAATTGAAGTTTTTAAATTGATTACATGTTAAAATCATAATATTTTGTGCATAGTGTGTCAAAAAATGTTATTTACTTAGCCCTGGCTAGTGTGGCTCAGTGGATTGAGTGCTGGCCTGTAAACCAGAGGGTCGCAAGTTCGATTCCCAGTCAGGGCACATGCCTGGGTTGCAGGCCATGTCCCCAGGAAAGGGTGAGCAAGAGGCAACCACACATTAGTGTTTCTCTCCATTTCTCCCTCCCTTTCCGTCTCTTTAAAAATAAATAAAAAAATATTTAAAAAAATGTTATTTAAATGTCACCTGCTCCCCCCTGTAAAAAATATGGCTATTACACACTTTAAGATTACATGCATGACTCACATTATATTTTTATTGGATATCACTGCTCTAAACTGCAGCAGAAATCTCACCAACCACCCACCTCCTGGTCTGAGGGAGAAACTCCGTTGAACAGAAGGGAAGAGCAATATGGTGAATCTGTGGCTGACCTCCAAGGACCCAGGTCTCTGGCTTCCAATTAGGCAGCATAGTGAAAGGGTCGAGCGTCCTGCCTCCTTCACTGACTTGCTGTTGTGTGACTTTCCAGTCATTCCCTTTCTCTGAGCCACAAGTTTATCCTTTGTAAAACCAGGACCAAAACCCAGCCCTACACATCTCTGAGCTAACAAGGGAGGAAGGCTCCACAGTGCCTGGAATGCAAAAGTCACCCCACTGCGGTAACTACGCATGGTGTTGGGTGGGTACCAGACTTATGGGGATTTCACTTTGTAAGTTATATATATTATATAATAATATAAAATAATATATATGATATAATAATACATAAATAAACATTATATATAATAAATTATATAATTATAATAAATTATATTCTATAATGGTTATTATACATATGTTATATAATCATTACATGTTATATACATCTGAATAATCACTATGTTGTACACCTGAAACTAATATAATATTGTATATCAACCATAATTGAAAAAATAATTATTTTAGAAAAGTATGTCCTGGCTGGGCAGCTTAGTTGGCTGGAACATCATCCTGTACAAAAAAAGGTTGCAGGTTTGATTCCCAGTCAGGAGAAATTCCTCGGTTGAGGGTTCAGTCCCTGGTCTGAGTGTGTATAGGAAGCAACTAATTGATGTTTCTCTCTCATCTCTTTCCTCTCTTCTCCTTTTCTCTCTTTCCCCTTCTCTCTCTCAAAAACAGGGGTGTCAAACTCATTTTCACTGGGGGCCACATCAGCCTCGAGGTTGCCTTCAAAGGGTCGAATGTAATTTGTAGGACTGTATAAACATAACTACTCCTTAACTAGGGGCAAGGAGCTCAGCGCTGCAGTCTGGTAGAAACAAGGTGCCCTGCGGGATAAAACAAGGTGGAGGGCCAGATTCGCCCCCCTGGCCTTGTGTTTGCCACCTGTGCTCTAAAATCAACAAACATCCGCAGGTGAGGATTTAAAAAAAAAAAAAAAGTCATCCCATGTGACGTTGATCATTTTGCGCCCCCTACAGTTGATTGTCCTCATTGCAGCTGCAGTGATTTTTGAGACAATGGAACTCTTTTGGTGAGAAGTCCTCCAATGGGCGGCCATCACTCTCAGAATAGTTGCAGTATTTCTTGCCTCTACAGACGCAGCCTGACCTGCCCTGGTTGCTGCCTCATTTCATCTCATCTCTTGCTATTCTTCCCATCTGCTCTGCTGTGGACACACTTCCTTGCTATTTTGTAGATTCCCAAGCTTATTTCCACCCCCAGCAGTTCCCTCCACCTGGAAAGTTTTTTCCCAGGGCGGCTTTAAGATTCATCCTCTTGACTTATTCTGGCCTCTGCTCAGATGCTGCCTCCTCAAAGAGGCCTTGCCCTGATGCCTATGGGAACTGGCTCTTGCCACCTCCCTCCCACCTCAACCCACCTTATTTTACTTGTTGACTTAACCATGTTGTATTTGCTGGTTGTCTGCCTCTCCCAGACTGTGACCTTCATAAAGGGAGGGGCTTTTGTCTTCTGCTCACTGCAGCATTTCTAGCCCCTGGAGGAATTCCTAGCACCCAAGACACAGGTCACAGACAAAGTGCTCAATAAACATTGTTTTTTTAAAAAAAGAAAGATTTATTTATTTATCTTTAGAGAGAGGGGAAGGGAAGGATAAAGAGGAGCCCCCACTAGGGACCTGGTCCTCAACCCAGAAATGTGCCCTGACTGGGAATCGAACTGGTAACCCTTTGGTTCACAGCTCAAGCTCAGTCCGCTGAGCTACAACCAGCCAGAGCTCAATAAACGTTTTTTGAATGAATTATTAAACAAATGCTTGTTTGACTCTTGGAAGAGACAAGGCACCTTGTCCCTGTCCTCTAGTCTAATCTATTTAGGGAAAAACGAGACCGAAAGAATGTGGGTGGCCTGACTCGAAGACCTGACCCTGTGGATGGGGTCTGAACAGGGTGGAAGAATCTGGGAAGCTTCCAGGAGGACCCTGGAGGATTTGAGCAGGAAGATGGGCAAGGAAGGCATTCCAGACACAGGACCGGCCTAGGAAAGCTGAGAGGTGGGGTTGAAAACACCACATCTCCCCAGGAGTCCAGTAGGAAGCTTCTGGGCCTCACACCTGCCCATGACAGCAACCTCGAAACCCAGAGCCCCCTGGTGGCCAAACCTTAAGGTGACAACCAAGCTGGCACCATTTATGGAGCACTTTAACAAATCCTCACAACAATGCTTCGATTCCACTCTCAGGGGAGGAAATTGAAGACCAGAGAAGTTAAATCACCGACCCAGGCTCACCCAGCTCCGCCTCCAGAAGCTGAGGTCTGTGGAACCCACCCAGCAGCTCCTCACCCGTCACGAAGACACCAGGAGGGATTCTGGTGTGACGGTGTAGGGGGACAGCAATTCTGCCATCTAGAAGAGCCCCAGGCAGACCCTGGTGTGAGCCCCCAGTTCTGTCCCTCACCATCCAGGTAACCGCAGGCCAGGTGCTGGTGCTCAGGCTACAGCCAATGAGACCGTGGGAGTGAACTGAGGGGGCGGCGCCCGCAGCGTGCACAGGGCTCAGAGAAGCACCAGGATTACAGTGAATGACGTGTGCCCACCAACGCAGGTGGCTTTCCTTACCCCGCTACAGGCAAACAGGAAACGCTTGTGCACAGCAGGTGCTCAGGAAGGGCTGGGGCTGGCTGAGAACCTGGCAGAGGTATCAGGCAAGCAGCCCCCCAACTCCCACTCGCTCAGGAGTGGGAAGCTGTTCAGCCCCCTCCTCCCTCAGACCCAGGAGCTCAGGCCCCACCTCCTGCAGGGTCACAGGTAACCGGTTCCGTCCCCCTCCGGACTTCACACGGAAGTCCTGCACAACGGTAACGGGTTTATTCACAGTGTCATTTGCAGGCTCCCTGAACTCCCAGGTCGGATCCTAACAGAAAACTGTGGTCCCTAGAAGGAGGGAACGGCCTCGGAGGCTACGGCCTCGGAGGCTGGGGTTTGGACCTGCTCCCGATGCAACCCAGGCGGCCCCATCTCGTCCAGCCCCCGGCGGCCTTTGCCGATGGCCAGGCGGGGCCGGCCGCGGTCCAGGCCGTCCAGAAGGGCGCAGGCCTGGCAGAGCGCGCGGCTGGACAGCGCCCCGCAGCGGGAGCAGGCGCCGGCGGGCGGGGGCCGGGCCGAAGGGGCCAGAGCCAGGCGCTCCGCCGAGTGCACGAGGTCCAGCACCGCGGAGGGCCGCGCGGCCTCCAGCAGCTTGAGCAGGTCGCGCGCGTGGCCGCGGAAGGCCTCGGGCGCGTAGACGCACTCCTCGGAGAAGTAGTCCAGGCGGCGGAAGTGCGCGTACAGCACCACCTCCTTCTGCGAGGCCAGGTGCAGCGGGCGGCAGCGCGGCAGGGCGCCCCCCTCGCCCGGGGAGCCCAGGCCCCCGCCCCGGGCCAGCCGGCCCACGTCGCCCCGCAGGAAGTTCATGAGCAAGGTCTCCGCCATGTCATCGGCGTTGTGGCCTGGGAGAGAGAAGGGGAGCAGGTTAGGAGGGGGCGCGGGGGCTGCTGGTCATGGGGACACTAGAACCCAGGGGCAGCCAGAACCCAGAGAGACAGGGAGGGGCGTGGCGAATAGCACGGCGTGGGTGCCCCCGCTGTGGGGACACCTTCCTCCCCAGCCATATTCTGGGGCAGTGAGGACTCAGAAGGAGACAGGCAGGTAGGGGCAAGGGGTGCAGGCCGTGGAGATCCCGGGACGGTGGGGCAGTTAGTGAAGGTACAAGGCAGACACCGCGAGACACAGGAGGGGACACACACGGGCTCCCACGGAGCAATTGGGGTGCCCTCACCGCCACCCACGGACCGGGCCGGGAGGGCCCTGTGCTAGATGCCCTTTCACGGAGGCGGTAACATGCTTTACGCTACAAACATTCTGCCAGTCTCTGTTAAAAGGGTACTTTGGACCACACGGGAGGCGTCAAAACCGCACTTAACGGAGACTCTCCACAGCGCTGCCCACACAGGTGTCCCTGTGAAGGCGGATGGGGGACAGTGACCACACAACAGTCGCCACAGGATTTCAGCCACATCCCTGCTTCCTCCACATCTTCCCATCCCACACCCGAGTCTCCGCAGCAAAACCCTGCTCTTCCCGGGGCTTCTCCATCGGCCCCACATCCTCTCCTCGGGGCCTTTGCATCAGCGGCTTCCTTTGCTCAGAACCATCTCTCCAACCTCCGTTCACCCCTCACTGGTTACCCGCGCAGCCCTCAGGTCCCGGCTCGCTCAGGAAACGCTTCCTCGGTCCCCACCTTTCTCCTCCCACTAGGGCCTCCTGCCGCAAACTCCCACAGCGTCATCTTCCTGATTAGCACCCAGGTTACAGTGAGCGCGTGAGAACCGGGCAGGAGCAGGGACTGTGCTGTGCGCAAGAGCAAAGGCTTGTATCACGGTCACTGCTTTTCAGCCTCTGGTCTGAGTGGTTTACACACCTAGTTCTCAGCATCCCCGGGACCGAGATGGTATGAATGCCCCCGTTTAACCGAAGAGGAAACAGAGGTTTGGAGCTTTGCTCTGGGCTACATGGCTCCTAGTGTCTGAAGTAATGACGGGAAGAGAATTAGACCACTATCAGAGAAGGGAAGTGAGCAAAGGGAAGGAGTTAAAAAAGATACAGTTGCGTTTCAGTCTTTGGATGGCTTCTATTGGGAGACACCCCTGCACAACCCTCCTTTTGTGAGGGAAACCTAAAGAATGCCGTATAAAAATGCAGAGAAGAGAACCACAGCCCTAGGAGAACCCCTTGGCTCTCCATTTGCCATTGTGTGTGTGTGCACGTGCACCAAGGTGATGATAGTGACTCAAAATCTTGCCACGCCTGCTCTACACCATCCCAGGGCCGCGCACCTACCGTGGCCCTGAACAATACTGAGATTCACCACTTACGACACACCCAGGGTCGCCTTTTCACTTCTTGGGCACGAGCCTCAGCCTCCTTCCAGCGCCCGCCCTTGCCTGAGCATGCGCCCGATCCTCCCACAAAGTCCCTCCTATCCCAGCGCGTAAGTTCACCTGTCACGATGTGCGTGGATCCCACGAGACGTGCCCCTTCTTCCAGTGCCCGGCGCCGCAGCACCCCGCAGAAGGTGCAGCAGGAGCGGCTGCGGCCAGAGCCTGCCGTGCTGCGGGCCACAGCGTCCATTGTCCAGCCCCCGAAGAGGTCGGCGTAGGCCACGACGGTGAGCGGCAGCTCCCAGCGGGCCGCCTGGCGGCGCACCGCCGCCAGCGCCGCGTCCCGGTAGCCGCCGATGCCCTCGTCCACGGCCACCAGTTGCAGTGAGATGCCCAGGCGGGGCGCCAGCTCGCGCAGCACGTGAGCCAGCACGGTGGAGTCCTTGCCACCCGAGGCGCCCACGGCCACCACGGCGCCGCGAGGCAGCAGGCGGCCCGCGACCACTGTGTGCAGCACCTCGGCCTCGAAGGCCGAGCAGAAGCAGGTGCCACACAGCGCTTGGCCGGAGCGCGGGCGGCGCAGGGCTGCGCGGGCCTTGCGGCAGGAGGCGCACGGTGGGGCGGGCATCGCGGGGTGTGGCCTGGGTGGGAGGGGTCGGCTTCTCCTGGACTGGGAGAGAAAGAAGGCAGGTTACTTGTGGACTCCGGGTGACAGGTCGACTCCCAGGAACCTGCCTCCATGGAGCCCCTGCCCCAGACACACCCAGGGAGTGCGCGAGGGGGAGGAGAGCAGGCTCCTCCTACAGATGGGGTTGGCCTGTATCTATGTCCTGGCTTAGGGAGGCTGCTGTGATATGCCCATCGTTCCCCACGAAGCCGGCGGGATCCTGCCCAGTGTCTTCTCCACATCCTGCCACGCATCTCACGTCACTTTAGGAAGAGCTAGTGGACAGTGAAGATCTGCGCGAGTTGGCTCCCTTTTCCTGTGACTTCATCTTCCAGCCTCCTTCAGTCACGCTGGTCTCCCCTGTTCAACACCCCGGGAATACTCCTGTTTCCGGATGTTTGCTACTGGCTCTTCCCTTCCTGCTAAGTCTCCAGGTTTTGTGTGTGTGTGTGTGTGTGTGTGTGTGTGTGTGTTTTGGTAAGATTTTTTTTTTTGTTTATTTATTTTTAGACAGAGGGAAAGGAAGGAGAAAGAGAGGGAGAGAAACATCAGTGTGGTTGCCTCTTGCGCACCCCCTAGTGGGGACCTGGTGGGTAATCCAGGCATGTGCCCTGACCAGGAATCGAACTGTTGACCTTTCAGTTCACAGGCTAGCACTGAATCCACTGAGCCACACCAGCCAGGGCTGACCAGGGAGGTGTTGTTGGCCAAAGAACCCGGGAGGATGCTGGGACCATTTAGTTGGGGGGTGGCGGAGGTGGGGGACGACTGGGAACTCCATGGGGACATGGCAGGGTTGAAGTCCCTGTGAAGTGTCTTCCCCGGAAGACTCTGTGGACCCCAGGCTGGGTCAGGCGCCTCCTCTGGGCTCGCAGAGCGGCTGGAATGCCTCTATCCCCTCCTAACCACGACTCCACCTGGCCTGGTGACAGATCTGACTCCCCTACTGTTCTGTGAGCTCACTGAAGGCAGGCACTGTGTCTGCCTCCCCAGCACTGTCTTCCTCCACGTTGCACAGGTTTTGGCACACGGAATCTGTAGGACGAGGGAGTAATAAATGTCCCCAGGAGACAGCACGCGGACCCCTGCTACGCCTCGGGGCTGCCGCCACATCAGGGGATGGATAGTGTGTGACATCTATAATGACAGAGGTTCGAAGGTTGAACAGGAACCTCCCAGACGCACCCAATTAGAGGCGGGGGCAGGGAGGTGGTCGGATCCGACCTGGGGGAGGGGGTGGGTGAGCACTCCAGAGACGGGCGGACCACAGTATCCAAAGTGGGGATCCTGGCCAGAAGGCCTCAGGGGATACAGGCGTTGGAAAATCACAAAGGCGAGTCACTGATACCAGAGGCCCTTAATTCTTAGAAAGCACGGGAACAAAGAGGGGCGTCCATGGGCCCACCCGCCCGGGAATAAATACTCACCAGTGCCGAATGCGGTGCGGGGAAGGCCTAACTGTCAGACACGCGGAAGCCCGATGCGGAAGTGACTCCGGAGACTACAACTCCCACAAGGCATCGGGCTGTCTTGCCTACGGCTCCCAGAACCCCATGCAACTGCTGTGCTCCAAGCACGTCAGGCCACTGATCCGGCATGGCCTACAACTCCCAGAAATCCTTGTGGTTTTCCCCCCCCCGACCCCCGCCCACCCCCGCCCACCCCCGCCTAGGGTTCGCCTACCGCTCCCCAAAAGCCCTGTTTCCTTTCTGCGCCTGCGCACAGACTTGGGACTTGGGAGTGTGTATTTCTTTTCCTGTGGTAAAGCACGATCGCGGTGCAGGATTGTTGAAAGGCCAAGAGGCTGCATTGGGGTTATCTGCTTTTGTGGGATTATCATGGGCTTTTTAAGAGATTAGAGAGCATATGATCTCTACCCTTTGAGGTGGGGTTGCGGGTGGAAATTGTAAGTGGGAGAGCGGGGGGTTGGGCGCCCGGGTAAAAAGCAAGAGACAGCGCCTGCGCAGGGCAGACATTCCGAGGGTGGGGGCTCGGAGTGGGTTTATGCTTGCTGGTGGAGGCGGTCACGGTGGCGTGAGCCTGTCATGGGGAGAGGGAGCAGTGTGCGAGCGGAGGTCTCTGCACGTGCGTCAGCTGTTAGTGACTTTGGTTGGGGTGGGGGGGTCTCTGTGTATGCGCCTGCCTGGCTTTGGGTGGTGGGTGAGATTGCGATCCACTGCACGGGCCGGGCCAGGGAACCTGGTACACATTTCCTATCATATGGAGGTGGAGCTCGATGATGGAGGGCAAGAGAGAGAGGCCGTAACCGGGACCAGGAGACTCTACCGACTCCGACTCCGACACTGAGGGGTCCAAAGGCACAGACCCCTGAACCCTGTAGTCCCGAGGCCCAGAATCATGGAGACTCGGGGTTCCAGTAACCCAAGGGCCTGGAGACTTGGACCCTCTAGACAGACAGGTCGAAAGGCGTAGACCCTTCTTTCCAACCCAGGAGCTCCAAGGCCTGGAGACAGATCTCAGATCCAAGGAGCTGAGAAAACCAGGGCTGCAAAGACTTTTCCCCATCCAGACCCAGGGGCCTGGAGTCTCCATCTCCCCTCCAGTGGCCAAAAGCATCCGTGGCCCTGAAACTCAAATCTGAAGGCCTAAGGAGTCCAAAGACTTGGATCTCTGGGACTCAGGAGACCAAAGGTTCGGGGGCTGGGAAACTGAGATTCAGAACTGGGCCTCAAAGGTCCTCCTGAGGAAGGGAGCAGAGCCTTAGAAATCCTAAAAAGTGCACAGCATGAAGGTGTGGGGGTCTGTGGTGAGTGCTGACCCAAGGGACATGGCAGGCACTGTGTAGCCCATATTTTCCTCATGTTGGGAACCACGATGCCTCAGTTTCAGGGTGGATGACCTCTATGAAATCAGCATTAAGGGTCATCACTGGCTAGCCCTGGTTGGTGTGGCTCAGTAGGCTGAGTGCTGTCCTGTGAAGCAAAGGGTCACCGGTTCGAATCCCAGTCAGGGCACATGTCTGGGTTGCAGGTCAGGTCCCCTGCAGGGGGCATGTTAGAGACAGCCACATGTTGATATTTCTCTCCCTCTCTTTCTCCCTCCCTTCCCCTCTAAAAATAAATAAATAAAATCTTTTTAAAAATTGGGTTAACAGCACCTGTCAAGAGTTTAGAACAGTGCCTGGCAGATATGGCTGTGGTTCTCATCTGAGTCTCAATGTTCTGTTACCTATGAGGTGGTATCACTGTAGTTCCTACTTAATAGCTGTAGAACTCTGGTTCAGCGGTAAGTCCTTCCTCAGACAGCCTGAATCTAAAGCAGGAATCTGTAAAGTGGCACATGTTTTAGGCCTTGTGAACCCTGGAGTCTCTTGCAACCCAGCTGTTGGAGGGTGAAAACAGCTGTGGACACAGACAGAAACAAATGAGGAGGGCTGCATTCCAGTAAAACTATCGAAGGACACAGAAAGAACATATATGTATGACCCATAGACAGAGACAACTGTGGTGACAACCAGAGGGAAGTGGGGGAAGGGGCTGGGTGGAGGCAGGCAAAGCAGAAGGTGGGGACATCTGTAATAGTGTCAACAATAAAAATAAAAATATGGAATTTCATGCAATTTGCATGTGTTAGAAAATAATTTTGTTTCCCCCAAACATTTATTTTTTAAAAAAGATTTTACTTGTTTATTTTTAGAAAGAGGAGAAGGGAGGGAGAAAGAGAGGGAGAGAAACATCAATGTGTGGTTGCCTCTTGTGTGCCCCCTACTGGGGACCTTGCTCACAACCCAGGCATGTGCCCTGACTGGGAATTGAACCAGCAACCCTTTGTTTCACAGGTTGGCACTCAATCCACTTAGCCACACCAGTCAGGGTTCCCCCAAACATTTAAAAGTGTAAAACCATTCCCAGCATGTGGGTCATAAAAACAGGCAGCAGGCCAGATTTGGCTGCTGGGCTATACAGTTTCCTGACCCCTGTTTTGAGTTTCCATGCTATGCTTCCTCCAAGAGGAGGGGTGTGTGTGTGTGTGGCTAAACCTTAAAGGATGTAGGGAATTTGAGGGGTGGGATGGTCGTCTAATCAAGGAACAGCCTGAGCCAAAAAAAGTTCTGGCAACAGTTCAGTACGGGATGTACTTTGTTTTATATAATTTATGTTATCTACACAGGCCAGGCACTTACATGCTAAAAAGCAAAAAAGGTACAACATGATCAGTGAAGTGTCCTGCCCCACAGTCTCTCCTACCTCATATATGACCTCAGAGACAGCCTGTCTTCTGTGACTGCCTGAGGACTCACTCCGAGCCAGGGTGCACAGAGCTTCCCATTTATTCTTTCTGATTCCAGGGTGGAGGTGGGGTGTCTGAGGTTCCAGAGACAGTATGAGATGTGCCCTCACTCCTTGGCCCCTTTATGACTGGTTTCTCCCCTGTGATTTTTTTAAAGTCATCAATAGGGGATACGTATTTTACTGATTTTTAGAGGGAGGAAGATAGAGAGACACACACACACACAGAGAAACATTGATGAGAGAAACATCAATTGGTTGTCTCCCATACATGTGCCAACCTGGGATTGAACCTGCAACCTTTTGGTGTGTGGGATGAACCTCCAACCAATTCAGCAGTCTGGCTGTGCACCCACACTTTTCTTTAAGACTACCTCTTCATAAACACCACTGCTCTCCTCATCCACAAATGAAAGGCTACTTTGGGCTTCCACTACTTCTTCAGCTCTCTTTGTCCTGCCTGCAAGAACCTATCTTCTCTGGGCTTCTTATATCTCTCTTCAAACTATCTCAACCAATCCCCCAGGAGTCACTTTCTCCACAGCTAGATCTTTTCTCTGCAAACTTTTCCTTAAATGAGCTCAGTGCAACCACATTGCGACTTCCAACTTTGCCCTGACACTGTACCTCACCCCACAGCAGGACAGGCGGACTTGGAGAAGAATCCCTGTGGAGGAACTAGGAAGCGAAGAGCAACATAAGGGGACATCAGCCTACTGATAAAATGGTCTACTTGTCCCCACATCCTTTTCTCTTAGGCAGGTTATACTCATTCACCACTCCAGGTCTTGGATCCTATGCTTGGGGGATCAGACCCCTCTCAGAGCTGGGCAATCTTTGAGCTTGAGACCTGGAGGATTTCAGCACCACGAACAGCACCATCCCGTTGCCTGGAGCAAGTTGAGAGCAGGCATCCTCTCGTTGCCTAGCCACGTTCATTGCCTCACAGGCAAATTGGTTTGAGATAAGGCTGGAAGAAGGGGAGAGTTTACCATATCAGAGAAAATGAAGGATATGCATAGACACCTCATTTTTCTGTCATCTGACCACCAGGCTGAGAATTGGGCATCTACTATCTGATGCATAATGATTCCTAAAGGTTGCATGGTCACAGAAAACCATCCCACTCAGTGTCTCCTGTGAGCGTGGGGCCAGGACTCACGGGACCCTGAACACTCTAGGCAGTCCCAGGAGAGCTCACGACTTGGGACACCCAAGTGGCTTGGGACACTCAATCTGGTTCTTGGGGACCAGACTGAAGAGAGGGACAGGAGGAATTCCAGATCCTACCTTTGATATATTTTTTTAAAAATTTAAATTTATTTTTAGAGAGAGGGGAAGGGAGAGAGAAAGAGAGGGAGAGAAACATCAATGTGTGGTTGCCTCTCACATGCCCGCCACTGGGGACCTGGCCCACAACCCAGACCTGTGCTCTGACTGGGAATTGAACCAGCAATGCCCTAGTTCACATGCTGGTGCTCAGTTCACTGAGCCACACCAGCCAGGGTTCTATATACAAGTCTTAAAGAGTATGTGCAAAGCTCTACTATGCTGGGGTGATGAAAAAAAGAAAAGAAAAAACACAATTAACTTTAAGGTGAAGATAGGGGCTTCTCTGGGGGAACAGGATTGTGGTGATAATGATGGATCTTGTGGACGGAGGGTTGCCCACAACATCCTATTCCTTATTTATTTATTTACTATTAGAGAAAGAGGGAGGGAATGAGAAAGGGAGGGAAATGAGGATGTGACAGAGAAACATGGATGAATTGCTTCTCATAGGCACCCCGACCTGAACCAAACCTACAATCCTGGGACAAGAATCCAACTGGGGACCTTTCTTTCTCTTTGCAGGCTGACACTCAACCCACTGACACATGCCCATCAGGGCAAAGAAAATGCATCTCTACAGATTCATGAGTGTTCATTTGGCTTTGGCTGGTGCAGCTCAGTGAATTGAGAGCAGGCCTGTGAACCAAAGGGTCTCAGGTTTGATTCCCAGTCAGGGCACATGCTGGGGTTGCAGACCAGGTCCCCAGTAGAGGGCGCGCTAGAGGCAACCACACATTGATGTTCCTCTCCTTCACTTTCCCTCTCTAAAAGTAATTAAATAAAATATTTTTTAAAATAAAGAGTGTTCATTTGGTGATGATTTACTGAGTTGTTCTTGTGGGGGCATTCTCTGTATGTGTCATATGTTTCTGTCCCCCAAAATGTATCAAGAACACCAACATGGGTCTAAGGAGGCGCTGCCTCACATGGGTCCCCCCTACTTTCTTGTAGCCCCTTCCAACCACACAGTGAAAAAGTAATCATGTGTGAAAAGAGGGGTGTGTGTTCTCTCTCAGGATGTCGTCACCATCCCTGTGGGCAGATAACTCCCAGGCTGGTGTTCCTCACTCCATTGGTCCTTCCCCCAGACTGCTGGGAGCAGAGCCTTCACTGGCAAAGCCCAAGAGGCTGGAAGACTCAGCCATGCTCTGGAGCAACAAGAAGTCTGGCCTGTGAGATACCAGTGATGAAGACAGCCACCATGAAGGGAGAAATGTTTATCTGTTTCGAAATTGCTCCTCCCTTTCTGCACACTCCTTCCCACCAAATCCCTCAGTACAGAGAATCTCAGCCTCTGTTTCCCACACGTCTTGCCAGTGGGTCTCCCATTGATGTCTGTCATGTGTGTTAACACAGAGAATCACCAATACTCTGCCCCAGTGTCCCCTCTGCCCAGCCCTCCTGAGACCCTTCCTCCAACCAAGGTGTGAGTGATACCCCATCCCAACTGTGCACCCCACATCGCAGCTTCTGCCCCTAGGAGTCCAAATACCTTACATGTGTTGTGTTCCCTCTGGATGGTGACTCCTGGGACAGTGTGTGACCTTGTGAGTGGAGAGAACATGCCCAGCATGCAGATGCTGAGGGAGGAAAGATAATTGGCTTCCTCAGCACCTTGGACCCAGGTCATCTCCCATGTTGCTGAGTCCCAGCCTTGTCTGGGCTGATCTCCTCACACCCTACAGCCTGTGACTAGGGGGTGTAGCCAGAGGAACCCATTTCTATTTTTCATAAAATGAGTTCCTTTAGCCCTGGCTGGCATAGCTCAGTGGATTGAGCACGGGCTGCGAAACAAAGTGTTGCAGGTTCGATTCCCAGCCAGGGCACATGCTTGCGTTGCAGGCCATAACCCCCAGCAACCACACATTGATGTTTCTCTCTCTCTCTCTGTCTCCCTCCCTTCCCTCTCTAAAAGTGAATAAATAAAAAATCTTGAAAAAAAAACAACTATCCTTTAAAAAAAATGAGTTCCTTTGTTCTGTATGCCTGTACCAGGCTGT